CAATCCCTACCTGGCCATGGAGTGTATTCTCAAGATGAACAGGGAGAAGTTGATTCGCAAGCAACTTTCCGATGAGAAGGTCATTGAGAACTACAAGGCTTCTTGCGACGGAGGTATCCTGAAAGTCATGAGCAAGATGGGTATTTCTACCCTGCAGTCATACAAGGGTGCCCAAATCTTCGAGGCTCTCGGTATTGATGACAGCGTCATTGACCGATGTTTCGCCGGAACTGCCAGCCGTATCCGTGGATTGACTTTTGAGCTGATCGCTCAGGATGCGTATGCCTTCCACGAACGCGGATACCCATCTCGTTCCATCATTGAAATTCCCGGACTTCCTGAATCGGGCGAGTACCACTGGCGTGATGGAGGCGAGGCGCACATCAACGACCCCGTCAGTATCGCCAATGTCCAAGATGCTGTCCGTACCAAGAACGACAAGTCTTACGAGGCTTACGCGAAGGCCGCTCATGAGCAGATCAAAAACTGCACTCTGCGTGGTATGCTCGAGTTCGACTTCGAGCAACGGAGCCCCATTCCTATCGACCAGGTTGAGCCTTGGACTGAAATCGTCCGTCGTTTCGTGACAGGTGCCATGTCGTACGGATCCATCTCCATGGAATCTCACTCCACATTGGCCATCGCCATGAACCGTCTTGGTGGTAAATCCAACACCGGTGAAGGTGGTGAAGACCCTGAGCGTAGCAAGCGACTGGAGAATGGTGACACCATGCGCTCTGCCATCAAGCAAATTGCCTCCGGCCGTTTCGGTGTGACTTCCCACTACCTTGCCGATGCCGACGAGCTGCAGATCAAGATGGCCCAGGGCGCTAAGCCTGGAGAAGGTGGTGAGCTGCCCGGCCACAAGGTCGTCGGCCCCATTGCTCACACTCGTTACTCCACTCCCGGTGTCGGCCTTATCTCGCCTCCACCTCACCACGACATTTACTCAATTGAGGACCTGAAGCAGCTTATCTATGATCTCAAGTGCTCCAATCCTCGGTCCCGCGTTTCCGTGAAATTGGTGTCTGAGGTTGGTGTCGGTATCGTAGCCTCCGGTGTCGCCAAGGCCAAGGCTGATCATATCCTGATTTCCGGTCACGACGGTGGTACTGGTGCTTCTCGCTGGACTGGTATCAAGTACGCCGGTCTTCCATGGGAACTGGGTCTCGCCGAGACCCATCAGACTCTGGTCCTCAACGATCTGCGTGGTCGTGTTGTGGTCCAGACTGACGGTCAACTTCGCACAGGTCGCGATATCGCTATCGCCTGTTTGCTGGGTGCTGAAGAATTCGGTTTCGCCACCACTCCCCTGATCGCTCTAGGTTGCATCATGATGCGGAAATGTCATCTGAATACTTGCCCTGTTGGTATCGCAACTCAGGATCCCGAACTCCGCCAAAAGTTCAAGGGCACACCCGAACACGTGATCAACTTCTTCTACTATGTGGCTAATGAGATGCGTGCTATCATGGCCAAGCTCGGCATCCGCACTGTCAACGAGATGGTTGGACGTGCTGAGTTGCTCAAGGTCAGGGAGGACATTCGCAGCGCCAAGCAGGAGAGAATTGACCTCTCCCTCATCCTGACTCCCGCTCACTCCCTCCGTCCTGGCGTGGCTACTTACAATGTCCGCAAGCAAGACCACCGTCTGCACGTCCGCCTTGACAACAAGCTGATCGCGGAGTCCGAATTGGCGCTCGAGAAGGGTTTGCCTTGCAGAATTGAGTGTGACATTGTCAATACTGACCGTGCCCTGGGCGCTACTCTGTCTTACCAGGTCAGTCGCCGCTACGGTGGAGCTGGCCTTCCTCAAGACACCATCCACGCCAACATCAAGGGCTCTGCTGGTCAGTCCTTTGGTGCTTTCCTTGCTCCTGGTATTACTCTCGAACTTGAGGGTGACGCCAACGATTATGTAGGCAAGGGTCTTTCTGGCGGTCGTCTCATTGTCTATCCGCCTCGCGGTGCTGCCTACAAGGCAGAGGAGAACATCATCATCGGTAACACTTGTCTCTACGGTGCTACCCGGGGTACCTGCTACTTCCGTGGTGTGGCCGCTGAACGTTTTGCTGTTCGTAACTCCGGTGCTACTGCCGTCGTTGAAGGTGTTGGTGACCACGGTTGTGAGTACATGACCGGTGGTCGTGTGCTCATTCTTGGCTCGACCGGTCGTAACTTCGCTGCTGGTATGTCCGGCGGTATTGCCTATGTCTTGGACATGAACCAGGATTTCCTCTCTAAGGTTAATATGGAGATGGTGGAGGTTTCGGGCCTGGAAGACCCTGCTGAGATCGCCTTTGTTCGCGGTTTAATCGAGGACCACCACCACTACACAGGCTCAGAACTGGCTGCTCGTATCCTCCTGGACTTCACCCGTGCTCTTCCCCACTTTGTCAAGGTGTTGCCTACTGATTACAAGCGCATTCTGGAGGAGGAAGCTGCCAAGGCAGCAGCTGCTAAGAAGGCCGAATTCACTATCCCTCAGCTTCCCAGCACTCCTGCCGAGAAGCCCAAGCACAAGACGGAAGGAGAGGAGAAGAAGGCCGAGATGCTGGACATTGAAGACAGCGTAAGCGACTCAAAGACTGAGAAAAAGAGGTCCGCTTTGATCCTTGATAAGACGAGGGGTTTCATGAAGTACAGCCGACGCAGCGAGAAGTACCGCAACCCGGCTACTCGTACCCGGGACTGGGCCGAGCTGTCGAGCCGTCTCAGTGAAGATGAGCTCAAGTACCAGTCCGCTCGCTGCATGGACTGTGGTGTCCCCTTCTGCCAATCTGACACTGGTTGCCCTATCTCCAACATCATTCCCAAGTGGAATGAATTAGTATTTGCGAACCAATGGCAGGATGCTCTCAACCGGTTGCTCATGACCAACAACTTCCCGGAATTCACTGGTCGTGTCTGCCCTGCCCCTTGCGAAGGCGCCTGTGTGCTGGGCATCAATGAAGATCCTGTGGGCATTAAGTCTATCGAGTGTGCCATCATCGACCGTGGCTTTGAGATGGGCTGGATGGTTCCTCGTCCACCTAAGACGCGCACTGGCAAGACGGTCGCTGTTATTGGATCCGGACCCGCTGGTCTCGCCGCTGCAGATCAGCTTAACCGTGCCGGGCACAGCGTCACTGTCTACGAGCGTGCTGACCGTATTGGCGGTCTGCTGATGTACGGTATCCCCAACATGAAGCTTGATAAGAAGATCGTCCAACGCCGTGTCGATCTTATGGCCGCCGAGGGTGTCAAGTTCGTCACCAACACTGCCGTTGGCCCTGACAGCGAGGTGTCCCTGAACTCGCTGCGCCAGAGCAATGACGCTGTCATCATCGCCACTGGTGCCACCGTTGCCCGCGATCTGAAGGTCCCTGGCCGTGAGCTGGACGGCGTACATTTTGCCATGCAGTTCTTGCACCGCAACACCAAGTCTCTTCTCGACTCGGGTCTCTCTGACGGCGAGTACATCTCTGCCAAGGACAAGCACGTTGTTGTCATTGGTGGTGGTGACACTGGTAACGACTGCATTGGTACCTCTGTTCGCCATGGCGCCAAGTCTGTTGTCAACTTCGAGTTGCTGCCTCAGCCTCCACCAGAGCGTGCCCGTGATAACCCATGGCCCCAGTGGCCCCGTATCTACCGTGTCGACTACGGCCACTCCGAGGTCAAGACCCACATGGGCAAGGACCCTCGCGAGTACTGTGTCATGTCTACTGAATTTGTCGACGACGGTAACGGTCACGTCAAGGGTATCAACACTGTCCGTGTCGAATGGACCAAGAGCGCCTCTGGCGGTTGGGATATGAAGACCATTGAGGGTAGCGAACAGTTCTTCCCTGCGGACCTTGTCCTCCTTTCCATGGGTTTCCTGGGTCCTGAAGACCGCCTTCTCGGCGATGAAATTGAGCGCGATGGCCGTAAGAACGTCAAGACGCCTCCAGGTCATTACTCGACCAGTGTGTCCGGCGTCTTTGCTGCTGGTGACTGCCGCCGAGGACAGTCCCTCATTGTCTGGTAAGTCTACACGCATAAATTATTGACTCAAGGCTGGGTAAACCAACGGACCGTAACTAACATTGTCTTCTAGGGGTATCAACGAAGGCCGTCAATGTGCTCGTGAAGTTGACAGCTTCCTGACGGGCACCAGCTCTCAGCTTCCTGTGACTGGTGGTATCGTACGCCGGCCAGCCATTGACATGGTCCCAAAGACAAGCGAGATCACCACTGTTGTCGCCTAGACGACTGGGACCTTGCTACGTCTGGGGCTGTGACAGTATTTCCATGATGATAATGATTTAAGATATCTTTCTTTTGTTGTTGAAAAGTTCGTTGATTGATCCCGAATCCATTACAGGGTGGTCAATTGTATCTACCATGTTAGGCGCATCACGATTACATGGATGTGACCGAGGGAGGCTCACTGACTCTTTTCACCTCTCGCACCTCACTTTCTGATTATTCTTCGGAGAAAGGCGAGTTGACTTTTGTTTGCAGCGTCGTTTTACAGGATCTTATGGTGAACATTAAGGTGTCGCCGGAGCTTTTACGATTCCCGCAAGTTCTATTGTCTTTGTTTATGTACATATCCTTTTCTATCATCAATCTGAAACTTATTCTGTATTTTTTGTGCTGTTTGTAGTGTCAAAGGGGACCGTTTCGAAAACAAGGAAACAGAGTAATTTCAGTCTGACAAAGTGGAGGATTGACCTCGGGTCTTCGTGTAAATCTGCTGGCAGGAATGTAAAAGAAAGACACATAGGAGGCGTACCTCATCCGTCTGCGGTTTCGTTCCATCGAGGACATTGTTGATTGCTGATAATGCTGCTCACCCAGTAGGGTGTCCGAGAAAAGAGTTGAAACTCGTCGAGCCTATTCTGCATTTGAGAGCCTTTACTGGAGGTAAGAGCTTACCTTCCCCATCGCCAGTCCTAATTCCTGATGCCAGGAGAAGGCCACCTGAAACCCTGAACGGCGTGACACTGCTATTCGTTCTGCATTCATTCATCTCAAAGCGATCTTCCCGAGCTCGACCTGGACGGAGTCTGAGATGGGGACCTGGCGAAGCGGAACGTATCTTTCAAAGATTGCCTCCTTGCCTTTTGGAAAAGCTGTCTCTCGTCCTGACACATGACCTCGTCCAGAACCACGTCACCGGAGAAGTACTCCATGGCGTCATAGTACATGTTCAGACGGTGGGTAGACTCGTCCACCATAGCCCGAAGGTTTCTCTGTGCCATCTCCTGATCCAACGGAGTGGGCGGCTTCAAGCATGGCTTGGCTGCGACTCTGCAGGACGGGCGATAGCCGCCAGGGCTAGGGCTGCGCTCACGGCTTCTGTAGGCAGGCCTCGGGATCTCAGTGACGGGACCCCAGCGGACGGTCTTTCTGGCGGGCGGGGCGTTATCTTCCTGGTGGTTGTCGCTGTGGCTTTCAGGCGACTGCATGCGCTCCAGCGGATACCTGTTGTCTTTGTCAGTGTGGGAGCCGTGACGGCACGCGAAGCGGTCTGAGAACCGCCGTCGTCTGCGAGAACGACGTCGCGGTGGTGGAGATGACGGTGGTGATCGGGACCTTGGAGCGGAAGGCGAGCAGTCCGTAATGAGGATGAGTAGGAACAGGAGGTGGGTTAGACGAGATCTCATCGTGAAGCTAGGATTGGGGGAATGGGGGAATGCAGGATTGTTGAGCTGTAGCTTCATTATTGTGCTGTGCGGTTCCTTCGCTTTTATAATCATAGTGGTCCGCTCAGCCTCTGAGGTCTGTGACAGTGATATGAGACATGCGTTGACTTGGAGCCTTGATAATGAGCCTCGATGCAGGATGAACAATGAGAACAAGGGCGTCGGTGCGGATCTTCTTTGTCCTTGTTCTAGACACAATGCTTTGTATGTGTCACCGGCGGAGAGCTTGCTTTCTCTGAATCGTCGAGTCATGAAAGAGCAGCTATGCATGTTTGAAACTGGAGCGACGAGTCAAGGATAATAAGACTTGATTCATTCAGTAGTATCCCAGTTGCTAAGCATAAGATGTACTCCGTAGTCCATAATGTATAATACAATCGTCCCAGAGGGGACAGGTATCCAATCCAGACGGTATGGCATGAAAGAGGCACAAAAAGACAGGGCCCAAAAGCGAAGAATGGCTCTATACCCCGCCAGCGTTGCGACTTGCTTCCTCCTCGGCCTTCATCTCCCTCTCCAGCGCTGCAAAATCACCCTGGAAAGCATGCTGCACTGGCTCCCTCCGAAGGTCCCAGACATCTTCACTGCTCGGCCCCGTCTTGTACTTGACGGCCTTTTTCCGGTAGTGGTCCCGAATGACTTTCTTGCGCTCCTCGTCCGCCATTCCACGGGCCTTCATGCACAGCCAGAAATTATCCCAGTGTTCGCTGCACGACCGCAGCTCGCCGTAGCGGTATACGTTCACAAACTGGCCTCCAAACGACTGACAGAAAAACGCGTAGTCAAAAGCAGAGCGGCAGGACATGGAATCGGGGTAGAGAGACTCGGGGGCGATTGAAGCTGGAGGTTGCGGAGGGCCGGAAGGTGATGGTGATGATGGGGACAGGGGAGATTCTGAGACATTGGACGACTGCTGTGGTGATTTTGTTCGTGATACGTCGGCCTTTAAGCTCTCCAGTAACTGGTTGAACTCTGCATCCGCTTGTTCCTCGCGACTCAAGGGCCGAGACTGCGACGATGGCGGCGTGGTGCCTGGTGTCTCTGCTGCGGGTGATGGCTGCGGCGCCGCATTGTCGGAGAAAGAAGGCATAGAGGAGGTCGTTTGAGGTTCCTCCTTCGAGGGCGATGATCTCCAGAGCCAGCCCATTTCGACTTTGTCGTGTGCTGGGGGTTTATGGGATGGAGAGTTGTTTTTGTCTTGTGGATCGAGTTATCCACGTCAATAAATTACACATTTTAATGCAAAAACGAACTTCATCTTCGGAGATGTAAATTTCGCAGTTCATCCCGCAAACGCGCTGTGACGGTAATCTCGAGTAATCTATAAGCACTCATGTAATAAATGTTGTTACATGCTGTATTGGCTTTACACATGCACTCATGATCGACGTCATAAGCAGGTACCAAGCTTCCCCTCATAGAAAGTACTCTCGGATATCAATCCATCACAATCATCTTCGGCAACGCTCATCTTCAATCTTCGAAAAAGAATGTCATCCTCGCCGCGATGATGCGAACTCGAATCCCCGGTTTGGTACCGCGAATCTGCCAGACCCCTCTACCGTGGAAACCTCCTACACAACTGACTCGAGTCCGCTATGCGAGATGGAGTACTTCACATGCAGTGTCATGGTTCGAGACAGGACACATTGATCTGAAAGAAAACGAGGGACTCCTTTTTATCAATAGTAAGGCCTTGCCTGTCTTTTATGTATCATCCCACGCGTAATTTAATGCTTCAAAATTAGATATCTTTCCGTCTAAACTCCAATGGCTGCTGCGAGGTCCGCTGGGTGGTATGCGGTCTTACGAGGAGGCCGTGAAACGCATCGACAGACCGCAGCTGGCTGCATCGGATACTTTTCAAATCATCCAACGAGTGGTTCCAAAGAACCTGAATATCCAAGTTAAAGAGGTCGTTCCGCGGTTCAGGGAAGGCGGCGCGTTTGTCAAGTACACTCGTCCAAGCAATGTCAACGACGCCGACATTGAAGCCTCTATCAAAGAGAATCTGAAAGAGCATCCCATTAGGCCCTGGTTCAATCCTTTTCAAGAAGTTCAAGTATGTCGGGTCATTGGAAGGCCTTGGATAGAAGATCTCTATCGCCTTCCAAGCCCCCGCCTCAAGGTTGCGTTCCACCCAGTGTCTCCCGAAGCATCAGCGGCAGACCTGAACACGGAGACTCTATACACTCTATTTCGCCCCTATGGGAAAATCAGAGACATAGAGAAACAACCGTCTGACTCTAAGGTCACGCCCAGGTACGCCTTTGTCGAATTTTCTCGGCCCAAGTACGCTGGCATGGCGAAGAACTGTATGCACGGTTTCACCGTCCCAGAACAAGAAGGTGGCGGCAAATCGGGTACGCGGCTCAAGATTAAGTACGAGCGGAAGATCAAGCTGTCCATGATCAAGGACTGGCTTTTGAGTCATCCCAGGATCGTTATTCCGGTGCTCGCCGCCCTCTTGGCCGCCATCACCGTCACTATCTTCGATCCAATGCGGACATTTTTCATCAAACTGAAAATAAAGTCGACACTTCAGACCGAAGAGAATGGTGTGATGCAATGGATCCGCAAACAGGTAAACAAAGCAAACATTATTTATTTTGGTCGCAAAGGGGCGGATCCTCGTGGGCTCACGGCCATATGGGAGGACCGTCAGGAAGACATTACTCGATTGCAATCCTGGCTAATGGAGAATGTGGAAACCTTCATCGTTGTTCATGGACCCCGTGGCTCGGGAAAGCGGGAGCTTGTATTGGACCGGGCCCTGGTCGATTACAAATATAAGATAGTCATCGACTGTAAACAAATCCAAGACGCGCGGGGTGACAGTGCGAAAATTGCCAGGGCAGCCAGTCAGGTAGGCTACCGGCCGGTTTTCTCATGGATGAACAGCATCAGCAGTTTTATCGATCTCGCGGCACAGGGCATGATTGGGACTAAGGCAGGGTTCTCGGAGACGTTGGACGCCCAGCTGAGCAACATCTGGCAAAACACGGCTACCGCTTTGAAGAAAGTGACCTTGGAGCACAGAAAGAAGAATCACAAGGACTCGCATCTGACCGATGAAGAGTATCTTGAGGCTCATCCCGAGCTTCGCCCTGTGGTGGTAATTGACAACTACCTGCACAATGCGTCCGAGAGCAGCGTTGTGTACGACAAAATCACCGAGTGGGCCGCTGGCCTAACGGCCGGAAACATTGCCCATGTCATATTCCTCACGACCGATGTCTCGTACGCCAAACCTTTGAGCAAAGCGTTGCCGAATTCGGTTTTCCGCACAATCACCCTGGGTGACTGTTCTCTGGAGGTCGGCCGGAAGTTTGTTGTGAATCACTTGGCATATGAGTCAAAGGATGGAAAGACTCAGCCACGGCGGGCTGAAGAGCTGGAGGACCTAGACGCTTGCATTGAGACCTTGGGAGGCAGGGTGACAGATCTTGAATTCATGGCACACCGTATTGAGGCGGGAGAGACACCGCGAGGTACGTCGGGAGCACCAGTCACGTTCTATGATAGATTACTAACATACGCTCAAGGCGCGGTCAACCGCATTATCGAACAATCGGCATCTGAAATTCTCAAGATGTTCCTTTTGACGCCGGAAACTATAGAGCAGTCGTGGACCCACGAACAGGCTTGGTATCTGATCAAAAGGCTTGCAGAGTCCAAAGATGGTGCTCTATCATACAATGAAATTGTTCTCTCCGAGCTCTTCAAAGAGAATGGAGAGATCACCCTTCGCGCTCTTGAGCACGCCGAACTCATTTCAATCGCCGCTGTCAACGGCTGCCCCCAGACAATCCGGCCTGGAAAGCCCGTTCTTCGCGCAGCCTTCAAGAAGGTCACCGAGAACAAAGCGTTGAGCAGTCGCATGGACCTCGCAATCATAACACAGAAGATCAACAAAGAGAATAAGAGCATCGGAAAATACGAGGAAGAACTCAGCCTGCTGGGCTCTCTGCCTAGGCAGCCACGGGAACTGACAGACCGAATCCAATGGGTGCTCAACAAAGTATACAGTTCGCAAAACAAAATTGCGAAATATGAGAAGGAAAGTGCATATCTACAGAAGATTCTCCGAAGCGAACATTGATTGGATGATGTATGAGTCGTGAGTCGCGTCAACTGGTTATGTCTGATGATGTAACGATGTGTATTATATCAATGGAGTCAATTTGAAATTCTGAATTCGCTCGAGCATAGCGGGTTGAATCATTAGTGAAGCACCTCATGATAGCAGCAGTTTTGAGTGTTTGATCCTCAGAAGAGGAAAAGGATAGACTGCTGAGTAAGTGGACGTGTAAATTAGTTAACTTACGGTTCCCATCCTTACACAATATGATGGTGAGATTCAGGATCCTTCTGTTTCAATGTGTCTTTGTTTTCCTAGACTAATTGAATAATTATTGCATCTTGAAGTTGCGTTGTTCTTTTTATTAAGTAACTTTGCTCCCATCATTGAACTGGCTTTTATTACTATTTGACTATTCTGTTGGCTTGTCTCCATATGTGTGTTTTCCCTCACTTGGTCTTTTAGCATTCCCTCCATCGCCAGGGCAGTCTCCCCTTTACAGCTTCTGGCCGGTTTCATCGGATGGGGATAATGGAAAATCATAAGTTAACCCCAAGTAGCCTGCTACAATTGTCTATGGACGATGTTCGAGAGTGGATATGGCCGACCTTGCTGGCTATTCTTCTCTCCTCATGTCTCGCTACCCGCATCATTACTGGCCTCAAAAGCTGGCCCGATAAGAGGACAGATGCGCAACTCCCAAGATCAGTAAGGGTGGTCCCCTACTGGCTTCCCTGGTTGGGGCATAGCATTCCGTTTGGATGGGATCATATCGACTTTGTTCGAAGGGCGAGGTTCGTGCTTACGTTACCCAGTTGTAGAGAGTTAAGTGGCTGATTGGAGAGACAGAGATTACATGAACGAAGCTGTATTCGGCATTATTTTGGGTGGCTCGAAGCACGATGTCGTAGTGTCACCGTCGCTCACTAAGGCCATCTTGGCCTCCCGAAGCACGTCTTCTACTGCATTGATCAATTACGCATTGGAAAAGGTCGGGGGTGATCAGGGCGCGATTCGTAACCTCAGCGCCACTGACCACCATATCATCCATCATAATATCCCCAATCTCTTAATGCGAGAACCATTTCTCACAGAGGCTTCCAAGGTCGCCAAGGACATCACTGAACGCGAAACTCCTAATCTAGTAACGTTCTGTCGTAGTATGGTTGACCAGGCGCCGTGGGAGCGGAGGAGCGAAGCTGAAGTCATCGATGAGCAGGAGAAGCCTATGGCTGAAGTGAATCTTTTTGCTCTGGTGAGAAACTTCGTGGGGCACATCAGCACATCCGTATCCATGGGACAAGCTTTCCTTGAAGCCTTTCCTGATCTACTTGATGATATGTGGACCTTTGATAACAGATTCCCCGCGCTGTCGCTTGGTGCTCCTCGCTGGTTACCATTGCCAGGCCTTTCGGCCGCATATGCAGCGCGTGATCGCATCTTGGATGCTCTTGCAGCCTACCACCAGGCATTCGTCTCTTGGGATGAAGGAAATGACCCTGGTGTCAAGTTTCGCGATCTTGACGATGTATCAGAGCCGATGAAGCAACGGATCCGGAAGTTCAAAGAACTGGGACTATCGCCAAGGTCCAGCGCCCCTGGTCATTTGTCTCTTTTTTGGGCCCTGAACGCCAACTCACCCAACGCTGTTTTCTGGAACATTCTCCGCATCTACTCTGACCCTGCTCTTCTGGAGGAAATCCGAAAGGAGATTGCTCCTTTTGCAAAGGTCCATAGACCCAGTCGCGAGGAGACCGGGCTCCCATTTCAAGAACCCGCCAAGGTCTCCCTTGATCCGGATGAGTTGTTTCGATCTTGCCCACTACTCAAAGCTAGCTTCTATGAGACCATGCGGTTAGATTCAGCAGGACTTTCCTTTCGTGAAGTCACCTCTGACTTGACTGTTACTGAGTCCCCTGAGGATGCTGCAGCTGCCAGCTTGGCCGAACCACGCACTTACCGAATCAAAAAAGGAGGGAACATAATCATGGCTCACGGGGTGGTCCAGAGAGACCCTCAACTCTTCTCTAACCCGGAGCAGTTCGATCCGCTACGGTTTGTTGTCACAGATCCAGACACAGGCGCACAAAAGGCGGACATGCACACCATTTATCCATTCGGGGGCGGCGTTTCTGGTTGCAAGGGCCGCGCTCTCGCTGAAAGGATGATTCTACTCTTCTCTGCTGCAATCATTTCAACGTGGGACATCGAACCGGCAAGTGGCAAAGCTTTCATAATTCCAGGACATAGGCCTTCCAGTGGAGCGTATTTGCCTAAGAATGACATTCGAGTACGCTTGAGAATGCGCGTATAAACAGTGGACAGACTTCAACTGAGTTCTTGCAACACCAGTTGGACAGCGATGACGAGGGCATTCTCTTTTGACGTCATAAATTACGAGTGATGTTATGATTCGAGAAATATCTCTTTGGATGTAAATATAGCCGCTTGTCACCGTATGCGAAAGCCTGTCCATGAGTTCCCTTTGACTGATTATTGAGCGTAACCTCGGGTTGGATCAATGTGGTTCCTGTCATAGTAGTCATCTATCTTAGCATGAACCCGTTTTGTTCATGACGGGCTTCATCCAAAGCCTCAGAACATAGGTGTACTTCACATGTGAGATGTATCCTATTACTATACAGGCGATGCGGAGAAATATCCGGATCACGGAGTTGTGCCGATATTGACGCTATCAGGATATTTGATCGCCTCATGAGCGAGGACATAGAAGACTCATGTTCTGCATTTGAATTCAGAAAAGGACAGCAAATACATAATTTGAACTTGTTTTTGCTGTTTTTAGTCGATAACGATGCAGGACGACAAGGCGGAATATTCCCCGAGCGGAGACTATGATCTATCAGCAGCTATATCCTCTGATTTTGGTCTGCGTCAAGGTCTGACATCTTATGGAGATGCACACTTTTCGCTATTCCTCAGAAAAGCCTTTATAAAGGCATTGGGATACTCGGAGGATGCTCTGTCCCGTCCTATCATTGGCATCGTCAATACCTTTTCAGGGTTCAACCCCTGCCATGCGAATGTACCCCAGCTGATTGAGGCTGCTAAGCGCGGTATCCAGCTCAATGGGGGCCTGGCGATAGAATTTCCTACTATCAGTATACATGAGTCATTCTCTCATCCGACCAGCATGTTCCTGCGCAATCTGATGAGCATGGATACGGAGGAAATGATTCGAGCCCAGCCGCTGGATGCGTGTATCATGATTGGAGGTCCGTTTACACACTTCTCTATTCTTGCTCAGCCACCACTCCAGACATAGGTTGGTCATGACTGACTGAGCTATAGGTTGTGACAAAAGCGTTCCCGCACAACTCATGGGTGGTATCTCGGCCAACAAGCCAGTCTTGCCGCTTGTAACGGGACCGATGATGCCGGGAAGCTATCGCGGGCAGAGAATAGGTGCCTGTACTGACTGCCGCAACAACTGGGCGGCTTTTCGCGCAGGAGACATAGACCTAGAGGAGATATCGGCTATCAATGACGAGCTGGCACCGACGGTTTGTCTCTACTGCTACAGCGGCTCACAATTGTCGGTAACTAGTTAGTACATCATGCTGACTCAGGCTTCTAGATCGGGACCTGCGGTGTGATGGGAACTGCCAGTACGATGGCTTGCATCACCGCCGCTCTAGGGTTGATGCCCCTGCGCGGTGCTTCTGCGCCCGCAGTCTCGTCTGCCAGGGTCAGAATCGCAGAAGAGACGGGAGCCAATGCTGTGGCCGCGGCACTAGCTAAGAGAAGACCGCAGGATATTCTTTCGAAAGAGTCATTTTTGAATGCTATCACAGTTCTTCAAGCGATCGGGGGATCGACAAATGCCGTCGTCCATTTAATGGCTATTGTTAATCGGCATCCCAAGCTCCAGGGAGTTATAACATTGGATACTTTTGCAGAAATTGGGCGAAGCACCCCTTTGCTGATTGATCTGAAGCCCAGCGGTGACAACTATATGAATGATTTCCATAATGCTGGGGGTATGCTGGCGCTACTGCATACTCTTCGTCCCCTTCTACACCTCTCAGCCATGACGATCTCTGGCCAGACTTTGGGCGAGGTTTTGGACGCATCTCTATTTCGCACATTCCCACATTCGCAGCAGGTTATCAGGCCACTATCGAATCCACTCTACCCTTCGTCTTCACTCGTTGTCCTCAGAGGTAATATCGCACCGGATGGAGCGATCATAAAAGCGTCCGCCTCCAAAGATCGCAGGCTGCTTTCCCACACAGGACCAGCTGTCGTTTTTGAAAATCCAGAAAACCTGGCTAAGAGGATTGATGACCCAGACCTAGACGTGACTAAAGACTCGGTGCTTGTGTTGAAGGGGATAGGTCCTATTGGCAATCCGGGCATGCCAGAAGCCGGTCTGATTCCTATACCGCGCAAGCTCGCTTCTGCAGGCGTCACGGATATGCTGCGTCTCTCGGACGGAAGGATGTCAGGAACAGCGGGCGGCACTATTGTCCTCCATATTTCGCCAGAATCAGCCCTGCCAGAGTCACCATTCGGGGTGGTGCAGACCGGTGATATGATCACTTGCGATGCTGATAGCGGGAAGCTTAACCTGGCAATCTCCGATGAAGAACTCAAATTCCGTATAGAGACGAGGAAGAAAGAAGGCTCGGATGCAGCCAAAGCCTGGTTGCACAGAGCACGGAGGAGAGGCTATCAGGGCTTGTATCAACGGTCAGTCAATCAGGCTCAAGATGGAGCCGATTTTGACTTCCTAACGGCCGTTGGGCCATCAGATGTCAGTAAATGATAACTAGCCAACCATATGTCTACAATTCCATTGAAATGAAATACTTATCATGGTTTACTTGTACCTCTGGGGTAATGTACATGTCTTTTGGCGCTGCCTGAACCCGGTGCCCTAAGCCCTGCATTTCCTGATTGGGCTAAAAGTCATCACGCCGCGTCGACGCGTCCCCCGCGCAAGAAACGCGTTGGCGGTGATGCTCCGCATTGCGCTGTCGGAGAAACCTCTACTAACTCTAGTAGTGGAATTGACCCAGCGGCAAGCTGGATTTAGATGTATAGCGCAGTGTTTATGATTGTGCTTCCAGCGCTGACCTCTACCGGCATTAGTATACTGATCGGTATCTCACCATGGCGACAGAAGCGCTCCGCCCCAGAGGCAGACCGGCCCGTGAGTGTAGCCATTGAAATAATATTGGGAGGTGGCTAACAGTGTTTTTATTGCTTCAGATACGCCCGGAACAACTGTGTTGACGTACACACCGGACGGTCGTTGGATTGTCACTGGCGGTTCCAACTCGGCGATCCGAGTGTATACAGTCGGCGAAGACGGCGAACCGAAGACGATCGACGATGGCGTTGATGGCAACTTGGGCGTCGTTGCTACAGTACGTCGGATATCTCTTCGAGGGGCTGCTAGAGACTAACGCGCTTCGCAGAATGACTCGTTTATTATGGGAGCGGAAGATGGCACTGTCTGGAAGTATGGGATAGGATCAGGGAGGATGGAACAGCTGCTAGTACGTTGCGCGCTGCCCGTCCGAGATCTAGCCATTTCCAAGGACGGGGAGTGGGTGGCGGTTGCGAGCGAGTCAGTTTAATCTTACAGCAAGGTCCCCTTCGTGCGAAAGCTGACAGCATCCAGTGAGCTCACAGTCAAGATTGTCAACATCGAAGACATGACGAAAGTCAAGTACCTCCGAGAGCAAGCCAAAGGCACGAAGCACGTTTCCTTCGATCCAAACGGACGATACATAGCCGTCTCGTGTACTGACGGTCTTCTCTACATTTATTCGACTTTCTCGGAGGAGCCGGAATTAGTACGGAAATTAGACGGCGTCATCCGACGACTTGAAGCGGAGGACGAAGCAACGGCAGAGATCGCCTGGCATCCTGATGGAACAGCATTTGCAGCTGCAGAAGTGACCAGAGACATCGTAATCTATTCTGTATCTGAATGGAAGAAGGAAAAGGTCTTCTCGGGTGGTCACAACGGAGATATTACATCGGTCAGCTGGTCACCGAATGGGGCTCTTCTTGCGACAGCTGGTGCCGACGGCAAGATTTTGATCTGGGAAACCAAAACACAGCAAGTGCTGCACCGTTACGACTTCGCCAATGTTATCAATCTTGCTTGGCATCCTACCAATAATTCGCTCTCGTTTACAACGTCGGATGGTGAGCTTTTCATCTACGATGGGTTTGTGCCAAAGGAACATCAGCACCATATCCAGAAGCCTCTCCAGGCCGCCCCTATCTTCCCTGGCGTGTTGGCGGAGGTGTCTGGAAATGCAGGTCGATCATTGGCGAACAGACCGAAAGAGTCAATAGAGCGGCCTGGAAGAGGAGGAACGCCCGATTCTCTCGATGATCTTCTTGGTTCTGATCAGGGCATGGAGGACTTTGTCGAGGATGATGATGGGGCTGGTTATGCGGAGGGCGTCAATCTCTACGGCAAGCGAACAAATGGACATCTCGACGATATTGCCGGCCCTGCCGAGAAACGATTGTTGACCAGCTATACAAAGCCCAAGGCCCACCCTCCTCTTCAGCCAGGGAGCACACCTTGGAGAGGAAATCGACGGTATCTCTGTATATCTTGACTTTGAGCGACAGCCGAGTAACAATGTGCTGACTGAGCTAGGTTTGAACCTGACCGGCTGTGTGTGGACAGTTGATCAGGAGACTCATAATACGGTGACTGTGGAATTTTATGACCGAGAACTACACCGTGACTTTCACTTCACCGACCCCTACCTCTATGACCGCGCATGTCTCAGTATGGAACATTATCCAGTTGTATAGATGCGCTCTAACGATTTCTAGACGAGAATGGGACTTTATTTTCGAACAACCCGACCGATGGCAGTCCCGCTACTATATTCTACCGCCCTCATGAGACCTGGACAACGCGTGCGGATTGGCGAACACAGTTACCGCAAGGAGAGTTGATCAGAGGTAGGCACTGTGAGCCCGACTCATTCGAGACTGGCGGCTGACGGAGATATAGCGCTGGCGCTAAGTGATTCATATATTGTGGCTGTGACGACCAAGGACTACGTTCGTGTGTATACCCTGTTCGGGACGCCGTATAAGGTGTACAGACAAAAAAGCCCAGCTGTGACGTGCGCTGCATGGCGCGATTACGTGATGACGATTGGCAACGGACCCTTGGGGAGCGATGGACTCACAGCGACTCTCACGTACTCCATTGAGAATGTCAAGAGGGATGAAGTATGTCAAAATGAGGACGTGGTTGCTCTTCCCGAGGGCTCAGAGCTACGCAGCGTCTTCTTTTCTGATACAGGG